TAAATATTTTTTATCGACGATCATTCCGAATCTCGCGATCGGGTCCGAGTGTCGTTCGAAAATTCCTCCCTCCCGAACCCACCGGGAGAATTGGTCGTATGACGCGTCATAATCCGTCCGACGTTCGGGTCCGCATTTGAGCGATCGTAAGTGTTTCTTAGGTCGTCTCGTTTCCGCGGCGCGAGGGATAAAGCGGAGCGACGTCGATAAGGGCAAACTTCGCGCCCCCCTCCCCCCCCAACGGCCCATAGTTTTTGAATGGGACCCCGTACGTCTCACGCGGGACGGTCGGGACTATCGATCGATCGCGTTTCGAGGGGGGGAAGTAGGGCTACTTTTCGAGCAATTTCGCTCTCTTTTCGCTCCCGTTTTCTCGTGCGCGTCCTCCCCCGCGGGGGGGTGTCGCGACTTTCGCGATCGAGTACCTCGAAAGCCTCGACCCTCCTACCCCCCCTATCCGCGAGCTCGATTTTTCCAGTTCGACGGGCGACCCTCGGCGAATTTTTCTTCGGAGGTGCGATTTTGGGGGGTGACAGCGGGGGGGTGAAGACGAATTTTCCCGGGGTAGCGGGGCATCGTAAAAATCGCGGTTTCGGAATTCGAGGCTCGTGTAAAAATTTCGTGAAAAAAGCTTGGGCCAATTTTAAATTATTTTCGAAAAGGTCGAATTTGAGTTGTTTCCTTATTGTAATTATAACTAGATCGGATTGGAGCTCGCGTCGCTCGCTCCTACCGATCACGGCGTTTTGTTATCACACGCCGTTTTTTGTGGTTTTCCGTTTGTAAATTTTTTTTTTAACTCGATCGTTGTGCGATTTTGTAGTTTGGGTTGTTTTTAATTGACGTCGGAATTTTTTAAAATGCGAAAAAGAAAGGAAAAGGATTTTGATTCGGTTCAAAAAAGCACCAATATATTGATTTTTTTTTAAATCAAACTCGGCGTATGTGTTTGTAAAAATGCTACGCATTTTAAGACTTCGCTAGAGTGAGTATATTTTGCAGAGATATCGCCAAAAAGGAGGATACGTTTTTTGGAACATCACCTATACAAAGTAAATTTTTTAAAATTTCGATTCAACTTGTAAAATCCAGATCCGCACATAATTGTACATAAGATTATTTAATTTTGATAACACTTTTTGGTTTTGAGGAGACATCCGCTCGGCTCCGGCGGCTTTGCCGCCTCGCCTCACTCTGATTCGTAACGGTGCATAGCTCGGCTTCGCCTCGCACTGTTCAGTGCTCAACAAAGATAATTTCTCAGTTTCAATTTTGGTGCGGTAAGAAAATGCCGAAACTAATGTCAGCGAATCAGTATTTTGTTATAGAACTACGTTTTCGCAAGGATCTCCGTTTTTTTATTAAGTTTAGATGAATGACGGGAAAGGTGGGCGCGTGTAGGGCCGTAAGTAAGCGTCGTTTGCCGCCGCGAACGGGGAAAGCCGGGTCTACGGGAGAGCCCTCGTGAAGCTCAACTCGCCTTCGGCTCGCTCGACATTGATGGAGGAAAAATGCGAGCCGTTTTCGTCGCGAGAACGGCGAGCTCGAGTTATGCCGAGTCGAGAATCTTTGTTTGAATTTGTAAAAAAGTTAAAAAAAAATTCCTAAATCTACAAATAACCTAATGCCCCAAGCTAAGGGAGGGCCAAAGTGATGCCGAACTCGCCTTCGGCTCGCTCGGCATTGGTATACGAGGCGCGTGTGTTAAGAATCGAAGTCTTCGGTTACTTTACTTAGTTGGGGAAGGGTTATTAAGAATTTTTATTTCTAATAAAGTTAAAAAAAATATCTTAAACTTACAAATAACCTAATGTGCAAAGCTGCTTGGTGTCACATTTTGTTTAGCTTCATTTATAATTGTTGTTTGAATTTGTATTACGAAAAAAGTTTAAAAAAATTTCTTCAACATACAAATAACCTAATGTCCAACGCAGATTGATGTCACATTCGATTTAGCTTCATTTATAATTTTTGTTTGAATTTGTCTTTCAAAAAAGTTAAACAAAATTTTTAAAAATCTTCAAATAACCTAACGTCCCAAGCTGTTTGATGCCACACCTTTCATTTTCAGTTTTTTAAAGAAGTCTATATAAAATATGTAGGTATAAAAAACCTCGCATTGTTCAGTGTTCAACAACGACAATTTCTCAGTTTCAGTTTTGGCGTGGTAAGAACATGCTACTAAGCAGACTGATTTGATAATTTTTTTGAATGTGTGAGTAATATTTTTGTTTTTTTTTGTGGAAACAACACCTATACAAAGTGATTTTTCTACTCAGCCTGTTTGTACACTCGGGGTTGTTTTAGCCTCCTGTAGAACAGGTTCATCCTCATCGGGAGAATTTTCTTTACGATTTCTCCACGTACAGAGTTTACATGCTATAATAGAAATCCATGAAAATAATTGGATCATTTTGAGTGGTCGTGAGGAGTTTGTGTAGTATTCCTTATTTTATTTGTTGTTTATGAATGTATTAGGCATGGAAATATGATGATTTTTAAAATTGTTCACGATATCTAACACAATCCTTATAATATGTACAGGAAAGCATAAAAATTTTAAGACAAAGAAGTTTTTACAATTTTGTTGGAACCTATAGTGTTTCGTAGGTAGTAATTCACGTGCCTTTCCATAGGAGATTCTTTACAAATGGACTTCATCCTCAAGCAAGTATTGGATAACTTAAGGTGCTGTATATTACAGTATCGTGTCCTTCAATGGTAATAAGTATATTTGAAGTACGAGCTTTTATACCTTTTTATAATGATATCGTAGTTCGCTGTTTGGACCAAGTGGTAATAGGTGGTCGCTTTAATACTAGTAGACTATGTGGACATGTAGAAATAAAAGTGGAAGGTAACGAACTAAAACTAATCCTTCGCTACCTTCCTAAGCATGAATATTTCATGTGACGAAATGCTTTCGTTTCCGCTAGAATCTTGGACATACTTTTTGCTCTAACCGGAATATAAACTGATGAATAACCTCCTATAGGACTTCTTCTTGAAGAACACGGATAATTTGTTACATCAATAATAAATTTTCATACCATTTCTATCGTAAATGTCTTTATGCTACGTAGCAACATGCACATCGGCATGAATTTTTGGTCGACATCAAGTCGATTACTCGAAATTGTGCAAATGTAGGTTTGTTTACGATGACATTTTCATAACAACGATAAAACACGTTAAATTTCCTTAAAAATGGTGTTTTTTACATAAAATAGTAATGTCCCAGATTTTTTGACAGTTCCCGTGACAGTTGTATAGATGGCGCCATTTGAAAAAAATACATCTTCTGTATCGGCGCATGCCCAATATAACCGTTCAAATAATACCACATTTCAACCGCGTAGGTTCATTTGAACGTTGCGGCGGTTCCTATTTTCTTAGGAAGTAGTGCTTTTTAGCGCAACTTCCATTGGGGAGTATTCCCTGACGTGTACCACGGCGTACTGCGTTGAGGGGTGTACACGTAGTGTATAATACTTCCCTAACAACAACATAGTTCCCTTTCAGCTCATTCTTCGAATAGGGTGTTTTGTTTAGGTCATTTCCGCTGATAGTTCCGCTTTCTCCGCTCGTTCGAGTAAAGATAGTGTTTGGATGTTAGTTAGTTAGCTTAGGTTAGGGGGCTAATAAACCAATAAACCGAATGCTCTATTCTTTCTATTCTAAAAAACAGTTTTCATCAATCTGACAAATAGAATCACATTTATACATACCTAGTCTTAAGAATTTTAGCATTACGGGAACTCAGAGCCGCCTCCTTCAACTTCTTCGGTGGCCCCATACCGATGCCGAACTGAAGGTAACCTGAAATCCTATTAACAAAAGATTTTTTAATTTCATTGTAGTACATTTGCTAGGAATTTGTCACTTACAAGATAAATTATAAACGATAAAAAAGGGTAAAATGATCCCACGAAGATCCCAATTCCACGAGGTGGAAGAATGTCTTCGAAATCTAAAAAAATACGTGTCGCATAACTTGAATCGTATACCCATAATTCACTTACCAATAAAATAAACAATTAAAAACAATATAAATGGACCGATGAACGTAAATGAAAAATTTACTAAACTTCACCCAAGACGAAACGTGATCGCAATGGAACCTGGAAATAACGTGGCGCCACCGTCGTAGAATGAACTACATTCGCGACGGGGATCTAAATATCGACGTGACTCCCTAATTTTTATTAAATATAACCTCTCGGCACGGGATTAATGCGATTTCGATTTTCTTCGGAGAGGTCAATTTAAATAGAGTACTAATTATGCTAAATTTTTCCCATTGTAAGTATATAACTACGAATTATAGTTTAAAAATTATAAAAGAAAATTGGCACAGACGAACTAACGTATTTTTTACAAAAAAATTTCCAGAACCTTTATATTTCAATCGATTCGGACGGTGAAAGGTGCATCTGATAGCTAATAATTCGAGCTAAATATTCCCCATTGAACGTACCCGTCTGGCAAGTCTCTTAAAAAAATTATTACAGAGTATATAGTTCAATGATTTATATAAAACATGACAGTACTATGAAGTTAGGTTATAAAAAATTACTGATATTCAGTTTTTATTTGTAAATTTTTTTAAGTTGGAAGCAAATTTGATCAAAATGGCGGATAGCCGGTTACTTTCTGTGGTGCTATACAGTGCTTTACTATGCCGCTTCAATAAATAATGACGTTAGTAATTATTTGCCGCAACAGGCGCGGGGCACCAATACTAATTTATAACCTTAAACTTCAAAACAAATTAAACATTTGACATATGATTATATTTAACCTAAATAAAGATTTAATCACCTTGTAAGTTTCCAAATGATGTGAAATTATACGAATAGGAAAAATTGCTACAACAATTGAAACAATTTTATTTCTTTTACAAATCGTTAATATTGAAGTAATTGGATAAATCACATGTTATAAACAACTGTTCGAAGATCTCGTCACCATAATTAAGACAGGGGGTTCACTCTTTTCTTTGTTTTCGAAGCCGACATGTAAGTGCCGTTGTATAATGCTTCAAACGGTAGCTTCTATACCTGCTCGTAATTCGGCAATGGTGTGTAAACGGTTTCGAATACGTTGACATCTCGTAAATTTGCATGCAATATTTTAGGACTTTGCAAGTCCGGACGATGAGTTCTTGTAACACGGTTACTTTAAAGGATAGAAGTACAATTTTCTCCAGGCAATAGTGTCACACGTTCCGTATGAGATATCCGTTAGTGGGACAAATTATCGCAGTTGCTTTTTTCGACTTTGTTCAAGACGAGCAAGAATATCTTTTACAAACGCCTTATTAGCAATCGCTAAGCGGCCAGGTGACTTCCCAGAAGCAAGACTTCCTGTATGTGAAACCGTTCAAGTAAACGACGAGCATTTCGGCGTATATTGTTGTAATCCTCGTCACGGTTGACATCCGTTTATCGAAACTCCTGTATACACAAACGTATCGAGTACCTACTCCCAAACTTCACTTTCATCTTTAGTTCCATTACGGAAACAGAACTGCAAACGCATCTTATTCTCTTCTAAGAAGTAAAAGGCTTGTCGAAGTAAACCTATTGCCTATTACACGCTACAACTAAAAAAACGTTTGTTTGTAATTTACAAGTAATTTACCCACCTTGTAAATATTCGAAAGAAACTGGTAGTCTTGAAAAAAGTCGTGTTGAAAGGAACGATAGTAATAAGAATTAGAAATTATAGTTTGTGAAATTATAGGTTATATTTTGTATTGGATAAATATAGAAAGTACCGCAATCCATTTGGCTCGTGTGTTAAAGAGAGAAAGCATAATTTTTGCCCAAAAAAATTCTAGTAACTTTAATGTTGGGGATTGTATCACCTGTTTAGAGATGGGATTATATTTATATAAAACATGACAGTACTATGAAGTTAGGCTATAAAAAATTACTGATATTCAGTTTTTATTTTTAAATTTTTTTAAGTTGGCAGCAAATTTTCACCAAAATGGCGGATGATTGTGTTACTTTCTATATCTAGTGACTTTAGTATATAGGTGCACATACACGATACCTGGTTGCGGCAAATAATTACTATTGTCATATTTTATAAGAGCGGTGCAGCATATATTGATCTCTCAGTATGCGCACGTGTGTAAATATACGAGATATCGCGTTTTAAGTGTTTTCAATGGTGTCAAATTACATATCGTTATATTTCCTTTATTTATAGTCCGATCTCGATAAATATTCAGTATTCAGAGGTTGGAGAAATTGAGGCACCCGTTTCCATCCTTTCGGCACTTCTATCTCCATTCCGAAATTCTGACCATCCCATCGGTTAGATTACATCGAGAGCTTTCCAAAGATACCTATAAAGACCCGTCTACGACGCACCGTTCTCGAGATATCGCGTTTTAAGTGTTTTCGGTGGTGTCAAATTACAAATTGCTATATCTCCGTTATTTACCGACCGATCTCGCTGAAATTTGGTATCGAGAGGTTTGGGGACCAGGGCCATTCGATTCCGTCATTTCCGAGCTGGTATCTCAGTTTCCAAATTTCGACCCTCCCATCGGTTAGATTAGGTCGAGAACTTTCTAAAGACACCCAGGAACCCCTATCTACGACGTTCCGTTTTCGAGATATCGCGATTTAAGTTTTTAATAAAAAATCCAAAAAACGGTTATTGCGTAGATCGTCTAGAAATGTCGCGAAACGCGTGATTCCGAAGTATCGAGGTCGCAGGTCGAAAGACGACAGAGAGACGTCGATATCTCGAAAAGGGGAGGGGATAGGAAAAAATTGAAAATCCCATTTCGAGCCCCCGGCCGGACGCAGCTACGGTTTAAATTTGGTCCAGATCGGCCGGTAAATAAGGGAGATATTAAGAGATGCGCGGCCCTTTAAAACGCATCCATGCGCGTGGACTTAGAAAAAAAAGGCACACCCCCGCCCCCCGAGCGACACAGGCCCCTCCCTTCGGCCACAGGCTGACGCCCGACGCCTACTGAAGACGCGGTCGAAATTTTTCCCGGTTTATACGTACAACTTCGGAGATCGATCGCGTACGAGTAGATACGAGATTGTATATATATAAATTGAGTATATATATATATACTCGTTTGTGACAAAATTTTTTTTATCGACGTTTCGCGACCCGTTTGTTGTCGATGAGGGAAGGACACAATTTGGACTGTTGGCGACGGCGGCGTCGGGTGACGTCAACAGGCGTCGCCAAAATGCGAATCTCGGTAACGGAAAGTCGTACGAAGGCGTGTTAGGTATCGTTGGAAAGGTCTCGGCGGCGCGATTACGATAGAATAGGTTGAGCGCGTCTTCCCATCATATTTGACTTGGATGGTTCGGCCCATAGTTTTTGAATGGGACCCCGTACGTCTCACGCGGGACGGTCGGGACTATCGATCGATCGCGTTTCGAGGGGGGGAAGTAGGGCTACTTTTCGAGCAATTTCGCTCTCTTTCCGCTCCCGTTTTCTCGTGCGCGTCCTCCCCCGCGGGGGGGTGTCGCGACTTTCGCGATCGAGTACCTCGAAAGCCTCGACCCTCCTACCCCCCCTATCCGCGAGCTCGATTTTTCCAGTTCGACGGGCGACCCTCGGCGAATTTTTCTTCGGAGGTGCGATTTTGGGGGGTGACAGCGGGGGGGTGAAGACGAATTTTCCCGGGGTAGCGGGGCATCGTAAAAATCGCGGCTTCGGAATTCGAGGCTCGTGTAAAAATTTCTTGAAAATCGTCAAAGCCGATTTTAAATTATTTTCGAAAACGTCGAATTTGAGTTGTTATCTTCTTTTAATTATAACAATGCCTAGAAACGTACACATACACTGGGCTCTATAATTACATATACATATATATAAAAATGAATTTTTAGCATTTGAGGTACCTACCTTTCGTTGAACCTCGATCGCTTAGCTTAGACGTAGATCTTATTCGCGCAACCCGTTTATCGTCCACGACGTAAGGGTGAGATTTCGACGACGGCGACGCCGGCGGCGCCGGCGCCGCCGCAGCCGGCGCCGTCGGCGCGCGTCGTCGGTCGTCGCCAAAATGAGAATCTCGGTAACGAAAAGTCGTAGGAAGGCGTGCGAGGTATCGTCGGAAAGGTCTCGGCGGCGCGGTTAGGATGGGCCGTGTCAAGTTCGGGCGCCGGCGGCGCCGACGCCGGCGTGCGTCGTCGGGCGTCGCCGAAATGAGAATCTCGGTAACGAAAAGTCGTAGGAAGGCGTGCGAGGTATCGTCGGAAAGGTCTCGGCGGCGCGGTTACGATGGGTCGTGTTAAGTTTCGGCGCCGACGACGCCGACGCCGGCGCGCGTCGTCGGGCGTCGCCGAAATGAGAATCTCGGTAACGAAAAGTCGCAGGAAGGCGTACGAGGTATCGTCGGAAAGCTCTCGGCGGCGCGGTTAGGATGGGCCGCGTTAACTTTCCAACTAACTGCAATCTAACCTAACTGCGCGCGTCGACCTAACCTAACCGAGCATTTCGACCTAACCTAACGTGTCTATCTAACCTAACCTAACTGCGCGCGTCGACCTAACCTAACTTAACCGCGATCTAACCTAACTGAGCATTTCGATCTAACCTAACACGTCGATCTAACCTAACCTAACCGCGCACGTCGACTTAACCTAACCTAACCTAACCTAACCGCTACCTAACCTAACTACACATCGCGACTATCTAACCTAACCCAATTGCAATCTGACCTAATTGTGAGGGAAGGGGGGAGGGGGGGGGGGTTGATTATTTGCGTAAAACCACCTTCGATTTCCAGATAAATAAGAAATATACGCAATTTTTTACAAATATCGACGTTCGAGTGCCCAAAAAAGTCACTCGGGGACCGCGTATTCTCGCCAAACTTTACCGCTCACCTAATCTCGTAGTGTAGAGTCGATTTTGGCAAAAAAAAAAAAAATTTAATTTTTCGTCAAAATTTTTTCGAAAATCGCCGTTTTCATATCGATTACGATTTAACGCACTTGCGATCCTATCGTGGGGACTCCGGGGCAAAATTATAGAAGGTCGCATCCAAAGTGATCGTTTAGTATCGAAAAGTCCCCGGAATTCCACCGACAAGTGCCCGTTTTGCGCCCATTTTCGTGAGCAATTTCATTTTTTTTTCCACGACCTCTCCCGGAGACGCCTTCGATTTTTTGGGGGAGGTGAAGGTGTCGTAGAATAGCCTCGTCCTTCCTTTTTCGATCGCCGCCTTAACCTCTCGAATACCTCGAATATTGACGAAATTACGAATTTTTTTGTAAAGGGGCGCAAAATTCGAAAAACAAAAAGCGCCCTCTAGCGTCGAAACCGTAAATCTTTTATTAGAATTTTTTCTCGTTTTTGCAATCTCCGCGTCAAAACGCATAAGATGACGTCGAAAAAGCGACGATTTTTGACAATTTTTTTTTTCGATTTTTTCGAAGGAAGGGGATAGTATGGAAATTTTTTCGTTTTTTAATTTTTGGGATAACTTTCGAAGTAGGACTCGTATTTCGACGAAACCTTTTGTAACGTGTCCTTTGAG